GACTGAATAATCACTAAATGTCTCTTTAGCCATGGTTAATTTATTTTTCATCCATTCACCAATTCTACATTTATTTCATTGATTATACTTTTCAATTTTAAAGTTTCTCTTTGGTTCTTTTAATATATTTCAGTGCTCTGCCAAATTTTTCAATCTATTCTCTTATTTCCTAAGCAGATCACATGTAGTTATTTTAAGATCTATGTCTAATATTTTCATTAACTGAAACTCCTGTGAGTCTTCTCCTACTATATGATATATATTTTAGATATGGTCATTTCTTAACTTCTTGAAGTCTAGTTAATTTTCACTGTGTATTAGATTATATCTGTATCTTCATCTATACCTATAGTTAACTGTATCTATGACTCTATCTATCTATAATTCTGTCTCTACATTTGCATTTATATCTATATGCATTATTCAGAATCCTAAAATATTTGGCCCAAATCACAGAAAACTCCTAACCTTTCATTTTTGTTACCCCAGTTCATGGGTTCATCCACCTCTCTTGAGATTCAACAACCTTGCTCTAAAAGTGGTCACAAATTCTATGACTTTCTGTTTGTTTGTTTGGGAAGATGTGGGCCCTGGTCATTTCTGGAGATTTTCATATGTATTTTCCTTGCCTAGATTTTCCAGACAAAAGACACTAGTTCCAAATATTTTTTTTTTCATTTGTAAGCATTTTATTTTTATCTTATTCCCTCCTCAGGTAGAAATTTAAAAATTCATACCTAATCATTGGATGAAAGATTCGTTTTATAAAATATGTAAGTATGATTAGAATAGGAAAGAAAATGGGGTAAAAGTACCTAATCACAAGACTATTTTAATAATTTGAATGGGAGGAGATGAAAACAAGAATTACTGTGACATAAAATTTAATACTTTTTTTTTTTTTGAGACATAGTCTGGCTCTGTTGCCCTGGCTAGAGTGGGTGCCGTGGCATCAGCCTAGCTCACAGCAACCTCAAACTCCTAGGCTCAAGCAATCCTTCTGCCTCAGCCTCCCGAGGAGCTGGGACTACAGGCATGCGCCATCGTGCCTGGCTAATTTTTTCTCTCTCTATATATTTTTAGTTGTCCAGATCATTTCTTTCTATTTTTTAGTTGAGATGGGGTCTCGCTCTTGTTCAGGCTGGTCTCGAACTTCTGACCTCGAGCCATCCACCCACCTCGGCCTCCCAGAGTGCTAGGATTACAGGCGTGAGCCACCATGCCCGGCCAAAATTTAATACTTTTAAATGATGAAGTGATGGCTCTTCATCAATTATCCTTAACTATATTTGTCATTGCCACTTTATATAAAATCTCCTTGTAAGATAATGTAACTAAATTTCCAATATCTTTGAATACATAAAGTCTTTCAGCCCTTTCTAATTTGCTTATTGTAGTTCATCTTCCCAGACTTCCGCCCTGCCCCTATTCAATACTTCTGTGTCTTTACAAGTCAGAGATTTGCAAATCTTTTAAGATAGCATAGAATGTGTTTCCCTTATAATAATTTCCTTATTGCCTTTGTATCTCCATATTCTTACATATAACCTAACTTAAATTTATAATGGATATCTTTTTGTAAGGGCTGTTGTACAGTCTAAAGAAATAATGAATGGGAATATTTACTGAACCTTGTTTTAATTATTTTTTCTCCAGTTTTA